ATCCCACAAATGTTTGGGGGAGTTTTCTGGGCCTTCGCATCTCTCACAGTAGAAAAGGCAGGGAATACATATTGGCCGGTATCCAACCACATTCCAAAGATGACAGTAACTGCTGGCCACCAAAAACAAAACTGGGGTGTGGGGTTCAGCAAACTGCAGCAGGAGGGGGAATTGGTGGAGTTTGCTGCACCTTGAGTTTCAACAAGAAAGCAAATTATAAATAAAGTAAGTAAGTAAATTAAGAAAAGGGCACTTGAGAACTGTGTAGTTGGATAATAGTCATTTTAATTAATAAACGAACTTGGAAATAAAAAACTGCAGAGGGAATGGTAATGTGTAGGAGGCTCTAATTGGGCATATGGAACTGTTGTTGTGTCTTTTGTTAGTTCTACTTAATATTGACTCTCTAATAAGAGGAGGAGCGCAGGTATAGTCTTAAGTGAAGAAAATGCAGTGCTTTCTTTGAACCAAATAGGTGCTCAGAGCCTAACTAAATAAATAAACCTTGTTGCAAGTCTGAACTGTAGGCTTCTTGGTCAGGTCATCTGTTTGTTTTTAAAAAATAGGTAATATTGAATGCATCATCATAAACACCCAACTAAACATTTTACTTTTTAAATCAATCTCACACAATTCCCCTTCCTTACTGCAGCCCCTGGACTGTTAGATTTACTTCCTAGGAAGTATGCTTTGCTTCAGTTATGTTCTGAGAAACCTAGGTAAGACAAGAGAATGATATGGTAGTTACTGTAGCTACTCTGGAAATTAATTTGCAAAGCACACTAGGCAGAGATTCAGTTCAGTTAAAACTTAACAGATTTCTGTGCTGGAGAGTTTGGTATCCAGCCTACCAGAACAAAGTTCCATCTCTCAGATTTGGGCAGGGCTTGGAGCCTTACTACACAATTTGCACTCTTGTGTGATGTACCTGTTGTTGTACTGTACACACTTCAGGCTACAGTGAGGAAATGAAGTTGTTCTTTCCTGCCTGGTACTAAGCTAGCCTTCTGCCTTGCATGTGTTAACCACTGGTTGTGTACTTTTGCTCTTACAGGGTGGTTGTATCTGGCTTTTCCTCTTGGTGTTATGAGTGATTCCATAGAGTTGGTTGGTTTTGCATAGTATTTGACTGAGATATGGTAGAGAAGTGCTAGACTCCCATGTCTTTAGCAGCTGTTAAATCTGCAGAAACTGGCAGGGGAAGGATTTCCCCTCCCTGTAAAAGCACAGTAGCAGGGGACAGTAAAAAATCTGGCAACTTGAGCAGGATGTATTCCATTACTTCCATCCAGGAGTATCTCACTAATGGCCATTATTTGGCACTCAGCTACACAGAATCTGACTCTCCCTCCCTTGTCCCTCAAGCAAAATCACTGCACCAGAGAGATCTTTTCCCATAATAACCTGCTATGCTTGACGCCTCTATCTGTGCTTCAGAACAGGTCCCATTCCAGAGCTGCAGAAAACAAGTGACTGTCTTTTTCCACATTATTGAGGTGAAATTGATGTTTGGAATGGAACTGATGTAAATTGTGCTTAAATGTCTACACCACAGGTATCTCCTGAGATATGCCACCTTTCAGCCCTTCATGAGTTTGTGCCAAAGGTTCTCCAGGTG